AAATGTGATCCCTTAATATTTCTAATTATTAATATTAACACACACAACATATAGGTACACGCATACATTATTTGTCACCGCTAGTATATAAAATGCGACTTACGAGTATATTATTAGTTTACAAAATCTAATGTAGTATAATATACACATGCGAAATTGATATTTCACACACACGTTAGTGCGCGCTCAAAATGTACTGAAAATTAGTATATGCACTATAAACTATATAAATATATATGTACCTATTTACATTCTATACACTCTGGGCAATACATATAACAATAGTGGTGAATGTACCATAATTAATGGAACTTGGTCCCTCCGGTCTAAATGTATAATATTGATCGTGCTCAAAACCGTTTCGGTCCGTTTGACAGAAAATGGTGTCTGGAGTAATATGATTTGGGTATCTAATTATGAAATGTATGGTCGTCGTTGAAATTTTATTTAAATTAATTAAATATAGTATACTGACACCTACCAAAAGATTTAGTACCAATAAAATATTATAAAAGAGGAAACAAGATGTATGGTACATTATACCGGAAAGTAGATTTGAGTTCAGTGTCATTTGCACACTATAACACTTTACAATTTATAGTACCTACTATTTAACATTTTGCAAATATCACGTGATAGGAAAAAACAATGACCACGTATATAAGTAAATTAACTAACATTTACGGCAAAGGCGTAATTGAAGTTAATGTATTCCTCAAAATTAAATTTTAATAATTTAAAGATGTCTGAAAACCAACTAATACAAAAAAAAAAAAAAATACGGGAAATTGCATGGTAATTCTTAAAATTCTAGGATGATTGTTGAAAAATTCAATCATTTTAGTCGAAATTTTAACTCGTTGTCATTTAGTCAATTTTAGTTTTAGAGCTACGGTCAAAAAGTCTAAATGGACTTAAACAATGTCGGTCTATCCAAATCATTTATTGAAAGTAGAAGTAGCAATTAAAATAAATGTAAGTTATACTCCATATGCGCTAAATAAAAATGTTAAATATTTAAAAATTGTAAAAAAAGGTGTATTTCAATAATCTCTAACTGTTTTAATGTACTATATCTCACATAAATTCAATGTTAATGGACAGAATTATTTAGTGTTACCTTTAAAAGGAATCACACTGTATATTAATTTATAAGTATTAACCATTTATTAATATTTAATTTTAATTAATTTTTTTATTATTTTATTATATAATATTTGTATTTTAAAAGACAGTAATCTTCAGAAATTATACCAGTTTTTAATTATCTTTTACATAGTTTATGTTTCAAAAGTAGATAAAATACTCATACATACAATTGTATCTTGAATGTATAGATAAACTGTCATGAATGTAAAATATGGTTCCAAATAAATATTTGCACTTTGGTGTGTGAGATATAATATAAAACAATATTATTTAATCTAAAATGTTTGGTTGGATTATTTCAATAAGTTTTTAAGTGATTTTTTTTTAAGTATAAACCGAAAATTATTTAAAAGAAATCATTATATTTTTATGTTAACTTTAAATATTCGTAAAATAGTAAAAATTGGGCTAATAAAAAGAAAAAAAAAATCTAAAGAGACCAAGGCTCTTTCAAGGCAGCAAATTGTTTCACTTTTGCCCTTTGATAATTTAATACTACCTATAGTCTACATAATTATGATAATTTCATTGTTTTTTTTTTTTTAACAATGAATGACAAAATGTGTTCTACTTCTCTACCTACAATAGCAGGAAACTTGCATTTTGACAAATTATCATCAAGTTGAGATGGCTCTGTTTCAGTCAATTGTCAGTATACAAATTAATTTCAAGTTTGTAACATATTCAAGGGCAATACAAATGCGGTTTTTTAACTATAACACGATATACCTTTTTGACTTTAGTTCGCCATTATCAGAATAATAGATAAATATTTACATTTTTAAATTTAGCATGCAAAATGATTAAAACAAAATAAACAATAATATAAACAATTATCAAATCTTATAAATAAATTACTATGACTCAAAAAAAAAACAACTATTTTACGAAAATGTTCTAGTTAATATTTACAAAAAATATATTTGTTTTATAACAAATCAATAGGTTGGTTATATTCATAACAAAAATTACCAATAAATGTTCCTTAAATTTATAAAGTTCTTAACTATACGAACACAGAAAATTATTTTAAAATTACTTTGATCTGTTTTAGAAAAATCAATCTATAAGTGGTTAGTTTAAATTTTCTTAAAATAATGATATTTCAAAAAAATACTGTATAGAAAAACTTTAAGGACTGAAATAAATAAGGTTGATACTTTGTATAAATGTATAAACCCTATATATTGTATATTATTCATAGAACAAATCGATAATTATTTTAATTTCAAAATACGCAAGAATACTTAACAGAAATAATATTTCACTGTAATATAATCAGGGACCAGAACTGTAACCGAAAAGAACTAGTACTGAAGCCGGTTAACCTTTAAAATTTAGGAACCATAAGTGAAACCGGAACCTTTATTTCCAAAAATGAAAAACCATAACCGTAACCTTAATTATAAAAAGGTTAATTTAGGTCAATTATTTAGACTAGTAAAACTATGGTAATGACTATTTTGTTTGCCCATTTGTTGGTTCAAAAAAATAAAAGCCAATTATTTTTATGTTTTTATTATTTTGAGATGTAAACTGTAATAGTGTTAAGCATGTAATAAGTAAATTTGTAATATTACCTATTATTATTACTATTATTATTTTTGTATGTTTATTAATATATTAAAATTTACAATGAGTATATTATCTATCTTGTCTATTAAGTGTTAAATATAATTAATGATTATAGAAATTTTTTAACTTGAAACAGTGGCCAGTATTAATTTTGATTCCTAATTAAAATTAAATTTTAAATTAAAGATAGTTATTTCATTAAATGATAATAATTCACAATATTACAAAATATTTTACAAATTCTTACTATAAGTTAGAATAAAATAACCTAACTCAAAGAAATATAATAGGAGGATATAATATACATATATATTTAATATATTTATAATAATTTTTTTAACTATTTATAATACCTTCTATTTTCATGAAATGAAACAATTACAATTTAAACAAGAATAAATAAATAATTTCATATTATTTTTTTAATAAATCCCTAATAATCAGAATTAACCGAAATTAATCGGTTCAAGAACCTATACTCTTTTAAAAAACTGAAACCAGAACCCTTAAAAAATTAATTGAACAACCAAAATCGAAACCGGAACCGAAAAAACCTATAGGTTCCAGTTCCTGAATATAATAATAGAATTAAAATCGGACTAATATAAAATATTTACACATTAAAAGTAAAAATCTAGTCTAATTTAACTTCAAAAAATGTTTTTATTACACGCCATAATTATGATGATAAGAAAATAAATTAATATTGAATATTTATTAAATAAAATAAATAAATAATTTCATGATTAAAATCTAAGATAATCGAGGGACTTAATTATCATCACGTCCTTTGTCCTTGGAAATATAAACTCTTGGTCATACAGATTCTTAACAGTCTCACCACCATTGGTTAAAAAAATACTCATACATAGGAGACCTTGGCTCAAATTCGTCGACCCCATTTTCTTTGAGAAATCATTACTTAATATTTTTTGGTGAATTTTTTCTTTTTTTTTATAGTTAAACTAAAAATAAAATGAAATATTTTGATGTGGTAAGTTAAAAGACTAATGAATAACAAGACAAAAAATATAAGCAATTTTATTATAACTTAAGTCTTTAAATAAAATAGATTTTTCTAGTCCTATTTGCCAATACATGAGAAGCGATCACCTAAAAATGTAACATAAGCACATATTTATTAATTAGGAAACCTAGGTTTCTATTACAAATATAACCGTGAGTTTCTGTTTACTTCAATAACACACTATAAACATTATTATGCAACAGTTTTAAATAACAATAGTTATACAAAATAATACAATATTGCAATGATTTTATCTCGACTTTAATGATAAGCTGTGAGAAATAACGATTTTTTTTACATACGTATAAAAATAACAGTTTAGCTAATTTTAACAATAAAAATCTGGACTATTATTAAAAAACATAATATATGTATATAATAATCATATAATCTAGTGTTTTTCAACATTTTTAATGTCGCGATCCTCAAAAAATAAAAATCAATTAATTTCTTTTATAATAAAAAGTAATTTAAGTTTTCATCTGATTTACAAGTCAGAAAATATATTATATCATTAACCCATAAACAAACAACTAGTATATGAGTAAATATTGGTACCATTCGTCACTTCTTAAATAGGTATGCGAAAAAGATTTCTCATAGTGGCATTAAAAACTAAATACAAAAATTGTTTATCATCAAGAAATACTTTATTTATTCGTGTTACCAATTTCAAACCCCGAATAAACAAATTTTGAATATTGAACAATCACGATTAATTACATTAATTTATACTTTTAACTTTATTATAGTTAATAGCGTAATTATACTAAAAATTTTTTCACTTTTATCATTATGGTTATGTATTTATATTTAATTTTTAATTAAAATAAAATATGTGTTTTTTACATTAGCCTTATATTATTTCAGATCGATACATACGACCACTCATCTAGGGGTTAGATACCCTTTTTCCGCCTCTCACGATTGAGAAACATTGATATAACCTATGATCTTAAATGTGATTTTAATTATTCTTTCTGTTCTATATTAAATGTAAAAAGAAAGGTTTAAAATGTATACACCAACTAGTATCTACTAAAACAAAACATGAACGGATTTGAATTAGATATTAAAAAATAAATAGAAGACTACGGTCAATATACGGTACACTCAGTTGGCCCTAAATATTTATAACGCAAGCATCGTGAATGCGTGTTGAGTTGCATAACTAGAAAATTCAAGGCGCAAATTGTACTCACAAAGCAACCACCAAGTCAACAAAAAAAAATATAAAAACATCTTTAGATACCATTTTAACAATTGACATTTTATTAAAAATATACACCTAGTATTATTCTACATAATGAATAGATCATTAACTTAAATATTAATTTTAAAAATGATATTTGATTTATTAGTTTTTGAAATACAATGAAGTATACATTTTATTTATGTTTGAAAGAATCATAAGTTTAATAATACAAATATTAACTCTTTTTAGCATTAGCAATAATGGGTTTAGGTCTATCTTTAAACAATAATTTTTTAGTAACTATAGCTTCAACTATGTACTCTTCAGTCTCTCCTTTTTTTCTCATTACAGCTAATGGTTTCTCGAATGTTAGCATTTTCCCATAGAGAATGTGATGGCCAATAATAAGTATGGGCGCGTTGTCCTTGATTGTTGCAAAAAGGTCACCAATGTATTGGCATTCGAGTTGACTATGGTGACGTGATTCGAGTTCACCTTGAACTTCAATAGCAGCCCATTCGGGAGGTGATGAACATCCGTTGTTGATCAGTTTCACTAGAATCATTGTTTTTTCGGAGATTTGGAAATGCTACAAAATCAAACCAAAATGCCCGATTTACAAAAGAGAAAACAAAAATGTCTTGAAATAAATGCAAAAATGCAGAAAATATTATAGATAGAATTCTAAAGCAATATTGTAGGTATAAGAAAAGATACAAAACAATGTCTTTATGTAACATCACAACATTGACCAATTTAAATAATATCTAAAAATGATAAAAAATTATGAAAAACTGGGATGTTCAGAATACGGTTAATTTTAAAGAACAGTGCTAAATCTCTGATAAGTGAAATATGTTGCCTATACATAACGCCAATTTAAATTAGAATTGTCAGAAACAACTACACCAAACTTCAAACAAACATATAGAATATGAAATTTTTTTTAAATTTTACTCCGAAGGCGGATAATTGGCAAGTAAAGGAAGTTAGGAAGCAAACTATGTTTATACACTTATTTAAGACTGACGTTAATTGAGCTACTTGTATTCATTTGAATGCAATGATGAATCATCAAATTCGAAAAACGGTATCTTAAAATAATTAAAAATTAATGGTTCATGTAATTTTTAAATTTTATATTTTCGTTAAAATTCTTTAAATTTACCAATAAATGTCATACAAATTAGGTCTAACATTTTTAAGGTTGATTTTATAAATTTATTAATAACAGTACATTATACCGTCAAAAATATTGTTTTCTGGTTGTAATAAGATATAAATAATTTTAATTATAATTTAAAGTCTTAGAATACAAAACTACTTTATCTGAGGATTATAAATAAAATTCATATGTATAATCATTGATATGAAATATGATTAATATTTATTATCAATGGTACAGTAAATATATTTATTAATATACATGATCATAAATATATGTATGTGGTTTTGTTTAAAACATTAAGTTATATATATTTTAAAATTTAAAAATATACTTGTATACTACAATTACAATACTATTAGAAACACAAATATAATATTATCGTATTATAAGTTTACATATAATAGTTAGTATTATGATTTATGTGTATGAAATAATTACATATTATCAAGTCTGGGCATTAATGAGTTAATAAGATAAAAATTAAGTTAGAAGTTAAGTTCATTCAACTTATCAACTTAACTTATATCATTACAGATAAATTAAATTATTAACTTAACTCATTTGCTTACAGATTAACTTGAAATTAACGTATTATTTTTTTCATTTATTTAAATTAAGTTAATTTTGATTTTCAAGACCAGAAAAGTATTTTTGTAAAATGATACATTTGATAAGTTAATGGAATTTAGAAAAATATAAAAATAAAAACTTCGAAAATTTTTGATGAGACCATAATATTTATCATGGAGGTCCTGCTGATCTCGGGAAAATTATTCGACCGTCTTAAGACTATTGAGTAAAAATAACCATGCCACCCATGAATTAGTAATTGGTAATTACATTACCATTGTCATGAAAAGTGGCCATAAACCTTTATTATAAAAATATGTATATATTATCAATGATCAAATAATACTGATAATAAATGTATTCTATAATTATTAGAATTATTCCATAATCTATGATATTATTAAATAAGATTGATGTTATTAAATATTATTGAATAAGAGAAGAAATTCAATAGCTGATCAACATTTTGAGATAACTATTTTATTGATATTCAATAGATATTATGACTAATCAATCCATTGTATTGTTTTATTTGTTTAGATTTTAATAAAATTAAATAATATTATACATAGATTTTAATATTTTGTATCTACCATACGAGTATATATTTATTGCCCGTATAATTTTATAGTTACATTTTCAGCTATAGTAATTATTTTTAATTCTCATACTGTTATTGAACATTAAAAATAAAACTTTTTTAAAATTATATATATCATATGAGATTTGTATGAAAAATTAATAAAAACAAATCATACATAAATTACCATACATTTGACATTTGCATGTCCCAATAAAGAAATGTATACTTTTCTATTCTTATTAGAGTCTAATAAGATTTTTCTGCATTTTCATTATCGTTAATGTTAAATAAGATTAGTCGTAAATTATTAATATATACATAACTAATATCAGCGCTTAATGTAAATACTTTCTTTTTTTTTTTGTAATAAACTTAAATTATTAATTGAAGTTAAGTTAACGATATTTTTTAACTTAATTGATGTAATTTTCATGTGCATTAACTTAATTGAACATTAATTCAATTAACTTAACTGAGTTAAAAAAATATCATTAACTTGACCAGCCTCGCATGCTATAGAACTCAACATTTAAAATTTTTTAATGTAGGTTTTTTTACTAACATATTACTGGGTAAATAATTTAACTCACTTAATTGAAATATTTGGAAATTATTATAAAATAAGTAATATTCAATCAACATATTATTTGAAAACCGCATGTTAAATAAGAATTAACATTTGATTATAATTTTAAAAAACCCATGTATCTGAAAATGTCAAGGAAATTATCGATTTCATTAAATAAATTACATAAAAGTATGTCATATTTATGATTTTATGCTACAATTTAATTAATACTCGTATTACCATTGATTATAAATACTTGAAAGTTATAATTTATTTATAATCAACATACAATAGAAATATCAACAAACAAAAGTAATATTTAAATTAGTTTTTTTTTTAAAGATACTTTATTGAAATTCAAATTTAAATAACATTTTTCTCTTATAGTTACATTATAAAAGGGTTGCCGTTGTACACATTATAACATTGTACAAGATAATAATACAAAATATCGAAACCCCGAGAGATTAACGACTTTAAATAATTTTTTTGTAAATACCTGAACTAGCTATTTATGTTTTGTATAACTTTAACATTTAATTTAATTATTGCAGAATTTCTCAGAATAGAAAATTGTAGGTAGCACTAAAATAAATTTTTTGTACTTTGTATTTTTTTTTTAGAGTGATTCATTCAATTTTGAACAGATATTAAACAATGTACATAAAATAAAATAATTTATTTTAATAGCATTAAAGGCAAATTATTAACTAATTTTATATCGCCGAAAAAATACCATATTAATTTCAAAATATTGAATTTATTATTAATATTTCTTTACATATACCATCCATAAAAATAAAAAAAATTAAGAACAATACATTTATAATAAAAATCTTTAATGAAACACAGAGACTTAATTTTTTTTAATAAATTGTCATCATGAAATATTCAAATATCTATTAGGTAACTGACTCCAGTAGGGAGCACATATATTAAAAGACCTTGAAATTTATACCGAATATTAACCCAATGTATTTTCTAGTTCCATTCACTACCATATTGAATACCACGAACTACATAGTCTTTGTAATATGAAGATAATTTATATCCCCTTCTACAATTCACCTGAAAATGTATTTGCATTGTAATGCAATAATAAAACATTACACAGTATGTATAATAAAGTAACAATAAGTATGATGAGAACAAATATATTCATTTATGGCGTCATGTAGCATGTGATCATAAAAATAAGACATAAACAAGACAAGTTGGTTAATTCTCAACAGTTAGATTAGAAATTGTATGTAGGATCAATACCATCTTAGCCATTTCCAGATTGCCTTGACTTCTTTTTAACCCACTAATTTATAAACATAATGTTAAAAACAAATAACTTTAAAAGTTTATATTGTATAGAAAAATCGTAAGGTTACTTATACTTTTTTATAAACTTACAATATTTTTAATCTTAAACATTGAATTTAAGGGGGGGGATATAATATAAACTCTTTAGATACATATACATTTTTATGTTATATACGTTATTCATGTACATTCAATGTATTTAATAAACACAATAATAAAGATTTTAAAATTATATCAAATATACAAGTACCTTTACAATGTTATTTTGGATTCCATAACCATCTTATGCATTTAATTACCTTTAAAATTGGGTTATATCTAATGATAAATCTTTCAATACAAAATTCAATATAAAGTAGATCGGAAATTAAGGAATAAATTAACAAATTAGAGCAGGTTAAATGTCTATAGACATACAAACTAAAAAAAATAATAGGAAAAACATAATATAATTGTGAAAACTGAAATATGATTCGTACCTATTGGTATCCGAATAATTTTTTTTTCGGCAAATGTAAATATTTATTTTTCGTACATAGGTCAAGTAGAAAAATCAGGGTCGTATTTAGACTTACTTCTAGGATGGGGGGATTTAAATTTTTCCTTTTTTTCTTATTTCTTAACTTTTTAATTTCTTCTTTTTATCAAGCTCAAAATATATGAATCAAATTTTGGTAACATTTAAATCGAATGAATTTTTAATATTTGTCATTTTTTTTTTAATCTTATGTCGGATCAACTTAAAATCGACTTTTGTGTGGTTATTTTTTAACACCTGTCTGTGTTTTGAAAGTTGCGATTGTGTTTTATTTGATTTTTCACTAAGTATGGACCTGACAAAAAGCCCAATTCAGTATTCACAGCCACGCGTAATTTTATTTAATTATCAAATGGTCCACATTAAAAAATTTGTTATTATACTCGTATAATTAATTCCTTAAATATGTATTCAGGGGGAATCGCCCCCCCCCCAAATACGTCCCTGAGAAAAATACTTAATAGATTACATTTATTTAAAAATACAATAATAAAATAGGAAACTTGGTGTTTAGGTTTCTATAGTACAAAATACAAATAAAGTTAATAATCATTAAACTCTCACATTCAATTGGTTAAATTTAATCAATATTTAATTTAAATTGTTTTAAATAATCAATGTTGGTATTTCATGCATTTACTAGATAACATTGAATATTTTTCATGCGTTGTTAAGAAGTAGAGTTTATTGTTTTAGTGGGCATTATCAACTTAAATACATTTGAATCATTAGATAATTTATCATTTATAATTGGTTAGTCTTAAATTGATAAATGACGTAAAGGAATTATAGGGGTCAATATGCTATAGTAAAGGGAACATTCCTTTCGTGGTTATATGCCTTTTCAAAATATCGTTACTAAAAAATAGCTTATTAGATTTTATATAACTGATTATAAATACAAACAACCTGTACATTTGAATAATTGTAATTTAGAATGAATTAAAAATTAAAATTAAAATGTATTTATAGTTATTTTTGTAATAAAATACTTATTTATAAAATAATATTATTTTGTGATAAATACTTAAAAAAAAACTTTTTTATGTTACTTTTTTATAACAGAAATTAAAATATCATTGCAAGACCTTACTTGACAAGACATAATGACCTCGCAAAAATCTTAATAAGACAAAAGGAACGTAGTGCAACCTAGAATAATAGAACGGTGTTACCAACAGAAATATAGTTAACTATAGTTTTACTCAAATCAATTATTGTTTGTGAAGTAACATTATCACAACAAAGTATATCGTGTCAACGATTTCAATAAACAAAAAAAAAAAAAAAATTTAAAAATAAAAAAGGTAGGTTAAATCAAAAGATACCTCATGTGGTATTTTATTTTAAAGATTTGTGAACATTAAATATAAATATATATATTATAAATCATTACATTCTGAAGATATATTTCGTTTCAAACATTAGAGAACATTTTCAAAACAGTAGAGGAATTATAATTAGCTTTAATTGACACTAAATTATCGCCTTAAGTTGTTTCTTTAATTTCGATAGATTTTAAACACAATAATTCACCTAGATATTAGTGTCATATTAATATACTACAGCTGATTAGACAGGAAGAGTTCTATACTCAAAGGAGTATTTAGAATTTCGCGACATTATGTACATAATATTATCTAATAACTATATATAAGCACAATTCTTAGGTAATAAGCGAAGTAGGCATCCATCCCAATATAATACATATATTTCCAAACTTATTAAATGTGATTGCACCAAATCAAGTATATTAAGACGACGCTACACTAGTGGTTTTCAGCGGTAAAAATATATTTAAGCAAACTATTTCAACTTGGAGCTCAAAATTACGGTTATACTTAACTGATGAGCGATAAGAAATATTAAATTCATAAAATAAGAAATGGATGAACCCACATTTATAATTTTTTGTTCAAATGAACATTTTAAAATTAAAATATTATAAATGTAATCCCTAACTTTTATGATCCTATAAGAGCCTCAGAATTTGGCACCAAGTGACAGTTTCATCTTCAAGAAGATTCCCATTCTAAATACATCATTAGTTACATCAAATAAATAACTTATTGAACAGATTTACGTATATTAATTAAATATAAGTACATACTACACGTATATGTACATTACAAAACAAAGTAATACATAAACATGGTAAATGTAATGTTTATCACTCTATGACGAAAGAGTGTAGTTTTTTATTAAATTTTTGTTAAGATGTATAATATATAAAAACATTTTGAACAATACGGTGATAAAAACTATGAGTTTTAAACTAAATGTACACTAATAAAATGTTTCCAAATTGGCAACAATGCATTATATTGTATTATATTATATATTAGGCAATAAAAAGAATTAGCTGGAGGCAATAACATTCTACGTTGAATAAATTAACAATAACAATTAGTGTGGCCATACTGAATAGTAATATCATTAGGTATAGTATAAATATACTTATTTGACTGGTTTGATTTTGCGAACTCATTAGATGGATGCCAAGAATTTTACAAACGTGAAAATAATGTATGAGAAATACAATAATTACACAATTTAAAGTAATAATATTACGTATGCATAATAGGAAAGTTTAAAAATAAATTAAAAACGTATGTAAACAAATAAATATATGTAAATTATATTATACTACATTTTCATATGCTATCAGTGGTTTAAGTACAGCAAAAAAAACAATATTATTTTATAAATGAAAAAAATATCCTAGTGTTGTCTGGTGAGCATAAAATGTTTAAGAAAATAAAAACAAAATTAGATATGGATATAGACTTATAAACTCAAATGTTAAGTAAACATTTTTATTTGAATTACGTGTTGTAAATTATTTAAACTTGACAATCACAGTATAGAATACTTATTTAAGTTATTTGATATTTTCTCAATTTTACATAAGTAAAAATACTATGTTTTTATTAACCTTGTCTTACGATTTATATGAGTGGATTGAACGACTAAGGGCATGAGCAAGGATGTGACCTTCCAATAATAATATTGTGACTTTCATGTGAAATTACTTTAAAATAACATTTATTGGACGTCGGTCATGAATACAAAAAAATGTGTAAGTTGTACTTAAATTATATATTTAAAATACAACTATTTATTTAATAAATAGCTTTAATTGAAAAAAAAAATAAATGATATAAATATATTATCTGAATTCATAAACGATAATCGTTTTAACAATTATGTTTACATAATAGTGTATTTTCAATTGTAACTATAAATAAAAAAGCATGTCACATGAGTTGGTTGACCTTGAAGAATAGGTGACTGATATAAATTGTACTTTTCAATTTGAAATCAATGTTAATAAAAATGACTAAGTGAAGAAATACAGTAGAATCAGCTTCTATATCAAAAAAATAGTATTAATTATTCCTATATTAGTATAATTACATAATTAATTGTTTATCAGGTTAATTGAATAGATTTTTAGAAAAAAAAGGTTAAATTTTTTCGAAAATCGGTATCGTGTGAAGTTTACGGGTTATTTGTATTATTATATATGTTTATTATATATTTTAGTTATTAAGAAAAAAACCCATCGAGAAAATCAAACACTGACTTCCCTATTGTACCATTTAGATACGAATCATAAAAAAAAAGTTGAAGATCAGAACAATTTTTGTAGAATAACCAAAAATACGTATCATGATAAAACACTACTATGTTCCTTGCTCCTTTCAGAATCTAAAAATAGTACATTAATAATAAATTTAAGTACCTAATTGCTAAATTGTTACAAAACACAACTCAACTTCTGTTCTACATTATATATAACTATTTAGACTCAACAGTGTATGTAAACAATGAGTAAAAACATTTCAAATCAACATAGAACATACCGGTGAGAAATTATCAGACAGTATGCGATCAGCTCATGGTGACGTGTGATTGATGGTAGCAACGATAGTAAAAATTGCGTAGCCAGGCAACAAATATTAATCGGTTGAAAAATAAAAGCACAGTAGTAGTACGTATTATCCGTTCGTTTGTTTTTAACGCGTGCGATATGTTCGCCGATAGCCACAAGTAATTAGGGTTAGATAGCCACATCATTCATTGTTTGTACTATAAACGTTGTATAATAATATCGACTACATTAAATACACTGTAAAACGTCACATAACAGAAAAACACGCGAGAGAGTAAATAAATTAAGAGGTTTTTAAACGGAAAAAAATGTTAACATGCACAGCGCGTAGGAAATATGGAGATAGGAAATACGTTTTACCGGGTGAGCAACGAAAATTTGTTTCACACGCGCGACAATCGACGAAGGATTCAGAGTCACAATGACTCCTTGGCGATCGCGTGGTCAAAACTGGAGAGACGTTTCTGTTCTCGGCGTTATGTTTGAGGAACCGTACCAGTTCATACTTCACATGGCCGACGCAATAGGTTAGGTTAGGTGGGGTTTATCTAATATCTGGGGCTCTAGGTCAAGGGCGACTACAAAAACACATACGCGCACACCAGCGAGACGCAAAGCTAATTGTGTTGGCGACGATCGGTTTATGTACATCCCGGGTTAATGTCTACCCAGTGCAATGCCACCGCACACACTACCTACATAATATGAGTAGTTTTTACCTTCCGGTCGAATGTGAAATATCATTGTACGAATAAAAAATAAATTGTGGATGTATATACGTGCTACAATATCACAGACATCTAAGCATAACAACGAAGTGAATAAAAGTATAAGTAGCATATTTCATTTTTTCATTGAGATACAGATAAAAATACACAATTCTAAAATAACTCTTCTCTCTAATTTAATTAAAATGTTTTATCTACCTACGTCGTAAGCATTACACTTTTGTTAGCGTCGTAATATTTCAACCATTTTCACAATAAACACAGTAAAGTTATTCAGTATAAAACATTTAAAGGTAAATAAACTATTATTTTTTTCTCTAATGTTCGAATTTATTTTTAACTGCTTACTTTATTTAAATACCTACAGAATCAATGATATAGTTTTAAGAAGAATTTGAATAAGAATATAAATGATTGAAAAAGCTAGGTACTACATTTGCAGCTTCTCTGGACTGGATAAATAATAAATTATAAAGGTTCTAATAAATTATTCTCGGTATAAAATCTAAAAATCATTGAAACAAACAATTTTATATGAATCAATTTATAACATAAAATTCTTAAATTTAGAAAAAAAAATTAAATACATTATAAGTAGGTGTATGTATTTATACGCAATAGAGTATAAACTATATTTATTGTTTTAAATCACATAAACTATTATATTTTAAAACAGCTTTGTCAATAGCAGCGATGGGCAATTCAGAGTAACTAGAGGGCCACATATTTTAGTTAATTTTTCAAACCAACTTTAAAATCTGGTGGACTGTAGTAGAGAAAGCAACAATGAAAAAAAGGTCATTCAAATTGACAATTTGCATTTGTTTAAAATAATTTAATTTTACGAATGAGCCAATACAATAAAATAAGTGCCTAATACCAACAGCAAAGTTAACTATGCCGATATGGATATAAATTATATTTAGACATTTAATTTACCTAGAATTCAATGCTAGAGCAAAATATAATATCTATATTTTACCATCAACGTGAAAAATTAGACACTGATAAACGCTAAAATGTAATGAAGTGATTTGAAAATATAGCATGGACAAGATAAAAAAAGTATGTGGGCCGCCAGTTGCCCATCCCTGGTCTATAGAATGACGTATAAAACTGTTATCATTATATTGTTACCAAATAAATAAAACGATTAACATTATAATGCTAATCGTTTTATCTGTTTTAATATTCATGTTAAATTTTAAAATATATTGTGTATATTTTAAAATTATTTATATATTTAATATTAAATATATATATATATATATCCAGTAGCTACTACCATTGATTATTGAATAAACTGATAAATCATGCAATATTAATATTCACTAATTGGATGCAACCGCTATGAAGTGCTAGTGTAGTTAGGATGCAAAAGTGGTGATGCTCTCATCATAGGTGAATAAAATAAGCGAATTAAATGTTATAATTAAAATAATTTAATGAGAAATTTGGGGTTGTTATTTTTACCAAGTTCATAACCCAAAAGGATATTTTTGATAACGCGCAATGCATATCATTTTCCC